GGTGGTGATGTGTGCAGGGGTTGAAGTCCCACAGAGAAATGTGCCTGATGAGCAGGCATAAAGAGTTTTGCACAGCTCTCGTGCCAGAAAATGCCATCTTGGCAGCCTGGGATTTAGTTTTGTCCAGCTCAGAGACAGACTCTTGGCGGCTCTGTGCAGTCTTCATTGGGGAAAATGTTCCCCTCTCCATCTGGAAGCTCACACAGAAGTGTTTGCACTTCCACTTAAACATCTGCCTACCTGAGACCCCTCCAGGTAATTCTGAAAGTCCAGAAGGTGCTGTAGAAAAGGCTCAGAAGTCAACAGCCAAGAGCATTCACCTGTGGCCACCTGAGAGCCACACTATATAGACCTGGGCCAAGAGGGAGCAGGGTGCAGGGAGACCTGTTTGCCTGAGTCATGATCTCAGTGAAGTGCTTCTGCCTGAGGATTAAAAGGCAAGTATTCACAGAACTCAGCAAGGCAGGGTCACTGGGGACTAGGACATGAATGTAACTGAAGCCCATTGGAACAGGGAATGGGACAGGTCACAAAGAAGAGGTGCTTCCAATGGTTTGTGGAATGAACTGCTATAGAAGCAAGGTGTTGGCTATGGAGGGCTGTCCAGGGACATGAGGGCAGGTCATTTTTCTCTGTGAGATGGGTCTAAGTGAGTATGCTTTAATGTTAACATGAAAAATCAAAACTCAAGCTGCAGAAGCAGTACTTGTGTCACACACATTGTAGCCTCTTGTGTGGTTGATTCACAGTAGGAAAAATTTAGTGGTAAAGGGGTACATTCATGAACTTCCTCTCCCATTTCCAAGAGGTCTTCAGAGATCTCTTGGGACAATCTATATTATGTTAAAATCTGACTATGCATGACTTTTTAACAGCTGTGCTCATGAAACATTACTCTTAATTACTTTATTCTCTGAAATTTTTAGGCCATTTGCATTTCCTTAGATCTATACCTGAAGATATTTATGGGCTGGTGAGATGCTGCCTGCACTGCAATTTTCTGGGTATGTATATTTTTTATTTGTGATTGTATGTCTGCTACTTGTTGGAGCTTGTCATCTTCTAGAGATTATGTCTCTAAAAGTTATATCCCTTACTTCTTAAATCTGAAAGCAACTGTTATCATTTGATTAAACAGCACGTTCATCTTTCATTAGCATGTTTGAATCCTAATAACCTTCTTATGAAATTACACTGTCAGAGATTGTTTCCTTTCACCATTTTTAGCTTTTTTTTTTTTTTTTTTTTCAAATTTCAGAGTAGTTGAAGTGTAGGACTGGGGAAGGGATAAAGGGTAAAATATCACTATGCTCTTAAAAATATATATTAGATTTCATTTCATCCCTTTGTATAAATTAAGCTCAACGTTGTCAAATCAAGAATTTTTTTTCCTTATAATCTCTGATCATTTTATTTTAAATAGGTGCCTTTTTTTCTTTGACAAGAATTTTTTTTTCAAATTGAGAAAATTTTTGTCAAATTAAGAAAATTTTCTCTTAATTTTTCTTAAAATTAAGAAAAAAATTTAAAAACAATCATAACTGTCACCACTGGGAGAAAAAAAAGAACTTAAAATACTCACCTTCACTGTTGTGCAAAACACCCATCCCTCTCATAGTGATTTAGAAGACTCTCTATGTCCCATGCACATACTCATGTACTGTCTATACAAATACATGAAAATAATCCTTTAAACAACATGAGTTCTTGTCAAAGTCAGGAGGACATGCTCAGCTGAAGATCTTATCTATGTCTTTCTACATGCTCATCTACATTCATTTTCACCATGAGGTGTCTGATTCTACATTTTTCAAACATGTTTTTCAGCTTTTTTTTTTTTTTTAAAGAAGGAACGACACACGGGGAGAGAGTGAGTGAGTGCCTCTGTTTAGTGCAACAGCCTTGGCTGGCGAGACTGAAGCCAGGAGCCAGGAACTCCATCTGGGTCTTCCATGAGGAGGACAGAAATCTAAGCACTGTGGTCAGATTCTGCTGCCTTCCCAGGAGCCAGGAACTCCATCTGGGTCTCCACTCAGATGAGGATTGGGGTCAGCTTCTGCTGCCTTCCCAGGTGCATCCCCAGAGCTTGATCTGCAGCAGAGTAGCTGGGATTCAAACTGCAGCTGTGATAAAGGACACCAGCCTTGTCAGAGGCGCTTAGCTTGTTACAGACACCACAGTTCAGGTCTCTAGTTCTTGTGATCATCTTAATGATATGTGAGGTGTGGACCCAGTCTTTATTTTGGCAGATAGAGAGCCACCTGTGCCAGATCTTACAAAACATTTCAAACTTTGCTTTGTAAATTGTAATACTATTTTGCTATGGACTCAATTTTGTCTTGAGTACTCTACCTTAGTCCCCTCATTTTTTGTTTGTTGTCATGAAACCCACATAGTGTGAGATAATATCCGTGATGTAAAGAAAGAATATTATATACATATAGAATATCTACATAGAAAAGGAATATTACATATGTGAAACACTGTTAAATTTGAAAAACATTTTTGAATTAATAACTTTAAAATAAAGAAAAATTGTAAGAGATTAAACACCCATCTATGTACAGGACAATTATTGATCAAAGCAATCAATTATGGCATTGCATTTGTTCTATGCCAGAATATTTCATGTCACATATTTTGTTATCAGACAGTCACTAATTGCTCTATGAATACATGTTTATGTTAAACTGTTGCTATGCAATTCATGCTGGAGATTTTCTTTTGTTTAAAGCATTTTTGGAGAATCTCAGTGATTTGATGTTTTCTCCTGTTCTTGGAACTTCCTTACTTGAAATCTGTTTCTATGTTATGCACCCCTGTTCACGGGACCATGTTAGGATTAAAAGAGAAATATAACAGGCAAGTTAGCTTTCCATTTAGCCCTTGCAGCAGTAAAGGGAAGTCATTATATAATTAATGAAATGCCTGTGACATAATGTCTCTAGGGACATATCAAAAGGAGAATGTTATTTCACGTAAAATTATGAAGTAGTTACTATGTAAAGAAAGTGTGTAGTAGAGACTGTTGGGGAAAGATGAGAACTAGAACCAGAGAGTGCCTAATGGGTTGATGAGACAAGAGACAAAACCTCAGAATAACAGAATAACAAATATGACATCCCTGAAAAAGATAGTGAAGGCCTGCCCTCAGCAGCCATCACACCAAATAGAGACCAACTGCTCCAATAATATGCAATAGATGGGAAAAAATACAGGTTGACACAAAAAGTTCCAACTGAAATGTTGCTGTTGTTTGTGTGCTGCCTTGGGGAATTGCTGGTTTATTCTCTGCTTATTTTTTTCCTATTACAGTGCTCATTGTAAATGTTTCTCAATGCTACTGGAATATCATCACTTTGTTCCATTAGATGCATGATTTTTAACCATCTCCTGTTTTCTGCTAGGCATTAAGGATTTATAATTGGAACCGCGTGTGTCCAACACCAGTGAAAGTTCTTCTTATGATCTCTCTGGAGGTCCCTGATCTTGTTAGATCCTCCTTAGGGACAGTCCTATTTATTTGGTACAAATTTTTTTTCTGTACATGACAGATAATGGACACATAGAAATATAGCCATTGGGAGAGTCACAAGCTCAAGTAAAGTAAATGTACTGTTTGCACACTGTCACAACAGTTAGTGTGACAGTGACAGCCCCACAGAGCTCCTCTCGAATGATGTGACTGTGATGGGTAGAGAGTTTGTGCTTAATGAAAAAGGGGACCATGGTTTTCACTTGTGTGTCACAGAGGCTTGAAGGGGATGATAGAAAAACACAACTAAGACAAGTGCCAATGTCGCACATTCCCGGTGTGTTCATGCATATTATTGTGTGTGTGTCCACGTGTGTGAGGTGGTGAGCAAAGACTGTAATAGGAAAAGGCAACTAGGCTCATCACACAGTCTCCAGCATGCACTAGTTCAAGTTCATGGTTATTTCACTTTCTCATGCCAAAAAGATGAAACTCTTGTGAATGCTGACCGTGCCACAAAGGTCGTGATCTCTCTCACCTGTAGAAAGTGGGAGGTGAGGCACAGATCCCATGAGCTGTGCAATTCCCACTAGCAATACAAGCTGCTAAAGCACAATATTTGAGAACTTCTTTCTTTGTACAGTATGTTTGAGCTTCTTTCTTTTTACAGTATGTTTTAGTTAAGAAGGGTATATTGCCAAGAGCACCAGCGTCCTCAATTGTCACACATGATACAGTAGGCAAAACACACAAGCAGAGGTAGAAATAGAGCAGCCCCCTTTTCACATCAAGGAAAGTGTGTGCAGCTCATCAGAGAAAGATGAACTGCAGTGACTTGGAAAGAAGGACTACCTCCATCTTGAAATGTCATGGGGATGAGTCTAGTGCCTTCCTCAATATTCTCAATCTCTCAGCCCTTTCCCTGTTGCTTAGTCTTGTTTTTAGATTCTGCTCCGATGGCTTTGATCATCTGAAATGAGCCCAGCCACAGGAACTCTGCATGACCCATGGCTCTTGCCAGACACTCCATTTCTCAGACAATTTTGTGCACCTGCTTTATGTTCGTTGAGATCTTAATCTTTGTCCAAATGACACATAGTTTGCTGGGATTCCTTGATCTGGAGATACAGGAAAGTACAGCCTGATTTACCCTTGCTCTCTTACACCTGATTTCTTTACTTTCCAGCATAGCTGTGTATCCAGTGATGTGTTGCATGGTTTGTCTTGTCTTCTTCACTCTTAGGGATGTTTGTTTCTCAGGGCTGCTCACATACTGCTGAAACATGCCTGGAACATGAAGATTCCACATCCTATGCTCAAGGGCATCATGGAATCTCATTGTAGCTGCAGCAGGTACAGCCTCATTAGGAGGTAAGGATCAGTGGAGAGGAATTCTACACCAGAGAACAGAGGCATTCTGGGGGCATTCAGACTGACATGAAGAACACACATCATGGTTCTGGCAGCATGTAACTAGTGCTCACATCTATGCATTTTTTCATCTTTTGGTATTCACATTGCTGGCATGGAATCAAGGAACCAAACATTGGTTGTGGAATTCCTTCTCCTGGGACTTTCAGAAGATCCAGAATTGCAGCCTCTCATCTTCATATTATTCCTCTCTGTGTACTTGGTCACAGTCAGTGGAAACCTACTGATTGTGCTGGCCATCCTCTCTGATCCACACCTCCACACGCCCATGTACTTCTTCCTCGCTAACTTGTCCATGGTGGACATCTGCTTCACCTCCACCACCATCCCCAAGATGCTGGTGAACATCCAGATGCAGAGCAGAGCCATCAGCTATGCAGGCTGCACCACGCAGATGTTCTTCTTTCTCCTATTTGGAGATTTGGATGACTTTCTTCTGGCTGTAATGGCCTATGATCGGTTTGTGGCCATCTGCCATCCTCTGCACTATTCAGTCATCATGAACCCCCATCTCTGTGTGCAGCTGGTTCTGGTGTGCTGGATCATCAGTGTCCTGCCTGCATTTTTAAACAGCTTACTGGTGCTGAGGCTGAGTTTCTGCACACATGTGGCAATCCCTCACTTTTTCTGTGAATTGAATCAGGTTATTAATAGAGCCTGTTCTGACACCTTTCTTAATGACCTCATGATGTATTTTGCAACTGTGCTGGGAGGAGGTCCCCTGGCTGGAATCCTGTACTCTTACTCCAAGATTGTCTACTCCATCTGTGCCATCTCGTCAGCTCGGGGCAAGTATAAAGCCTTTTCCACCTGTGCCTCTCACCTCTCTGTTGTTTCCTTGTTTTATGGAACAGCACTGGGTGTATATCTCAGTTCAACTGCTACGCAAAACTCACACTCAACTGCAGCAGCCTCGGTTATTTATACCGTGGTCACCCCCATGTTGAACCCCTTCATCTACAGTCTCAGGAATAACGATATCCAGAGGGCTGTGAAAATACATCTGAGGGAAATCTTCCGATGGCCATTTTTAAGTCATAGCCACAAATCAGGCCTTTAAAACTCAGGGCTTGCAGAAGTACCAAGCAGAACCTCCCCCTACTCACCTGTCCTTCTGCTCATTTTCTGAAGTCTTTGCCTTGTTCCATGATTTGTATTTTGCTGCTTCTTTCTAAAGTTTTCAGTTCTCTTGGAGTTTCACACTTCTCTTCCTTCTTCATTTTTCAATTTTCCAAAAAATGTTTGCAAGTTTAAAATTAAACCACCTTGATTTCCTTTCTGAGTCATAAAGTGATATGGTGTATTTCTGTTAAAGTAATGAACAACATTCACCACCAATTTTGGTGAGTCTATGGCATGATGATAGTGAGAGAGGAGTTAGAGTGGGTAGTAGGCAGTTAGGGTATTCTGGGTCCCCAAGTAAAAGAGAATTTCCCCACCATGTCTTGAACTCACCAGAGCACGTCTCTTCCAAGGGTCGGAGTGCTATTAGCATATCAATTCCCCACCTGAAGTATCGGCCATTACCTCCCGGCCACTGTGGGAAGGCCTCAGGCCGATCTCTTTATCATTGAAAGGAGAGCAGGAAGAAGTAATACACATCTGCCTAAGGCCTGGAATGTCCTATGTCTGGCACCTCTGTGGCCTTTTGTCCCAAGGCCAGGTACTATGGAAACTAGGAATTTTCTTTGTTCATGGAGAAACATCTTTGAGGGAAACCTTTAAAAGGTGCATTCCCCACCATTGATACGGGTTCTCATTTTCCTCCTGCCACTATGGCAGAGCACTAGGGTTTTGCTTCTTGTCCTCCTGACACTATGGCAGGAGGTAAGGGTCTTTTCTATCTCAAAACCCCCTCCCGTCGCTAGGACGGGAGTCTTCTCTTCTCAGCTTTTCTAATAAATCTTGCGTTAAAACTAAACTGTGTCCTCATGAAAATTCTTCTTTCCTGCGAGACAAGAATTTGAGGTTGCTGCCATACTCGGAGTCAAAAATCCTGCAACAATAGTTCTGTGTATTCCTGGAATAAAGCAGTTGGAGATACATTTATGCACCATTGTCCATTACTGTGGCACCAAATCTTAATCCTTAGCGTGACAGAAAGTCTAAATTCTCACCTTGCAAGTAGCTAGATCCCATGTGGGTGCCAGTTCTTGTCTAGGCTACTCCACTTCCCATACGATTCTGTGGTAATGGCTTTGGAATGTAGCAGAGGATCGCTCAAACTCTTAATTCCCCGCACCCATGTAGGAAACCTGTAAGATGCTCCTGGCTCCTGACTTTGGATCCATACAACTCTGGCCATTGTGGCCATTTGAGATGTAATTCAGAATGGACGATCTTTCTGTCTCTGTTTGTAAATCTGATATGCATTTCCAGTAAAACTAAATAAATCATTACCAAAATAGGTTAAGGCCCTGCTGGATGATGCCAATATATTATATCAGTGTTTTTGTCAAGTCTCAATTGCCTCATTTCTCAATCAGTTCTCTGCAAATTAACAGAGGGTAAAGCTGTCAGGGGCCTTTGGTAGTGGTCCTGCAGGGCCTTGGTTGCCTTGCTCAGATCATTGGGCTCATTTTTACAATGGGTTCCAGATCCATGAGCCCCGGGAGCGGGGTTCTGGCAGAACCAGGTCACATGTTCCAAGACCTTGGGCCTTTCTATGAGAACAGGTCCTCCTCATTGGATAAGACAGAGCAGTTGGTGGCAGGCCCTTATGCACATGGAGAATATTGCAGCTCATTGGACTCTGCAGAGGACAGCTGGTACCATAGCAGAGCAAGATGATCAGAACAAATTGGACAGCTACTCCAGCCAAATAATGACAGCAAAAATTTGGTCAAATGCAGATGCTAAGGTCGATTATGTTAGTCAATGGATAGCAGGAGTATTTCCTCATCTTTGGATGGGAAGGATTGAGAACATTTCAGAACCATCCAAACCACTTGGACAGAAGCCACAGAAAGGGCTCCACATCGGGACCCTAGGTTGATATTGGTGCATTCTCCATCTTTGGGTACTGGTGCAGTTTGGAAGCTAAGTATGCATTCTCCCATTATGTCTCTCCTTCCCCCAGAATCAGGAAGAAATAGAACATTTGGAAACCATGATCATGCTCACTTTTCCTAACCCTAGATCTTTCCCACCCTGATCAATTATGTACATATATCAAAAGTAACAAAGTAAAATCTGACAAAGGTGTAATAGTAACCAGTAACTACCCAGTAGCAGCCCTCACTGTAGTTGTGTCTCTCAGGGGGCCCACCAACTCTGATCCCTCGCCATCCATTTATTTTTAAGATTTATTTTTATTATTTTTTTATTGGAAGGCGGATATACAGAGAGGAGAGACAGAGAGGAAGATCTTCCGTCCGATGATTCACTCCCCAAGTGAGCGCAACGGCCAATGCTATGCTGATCCGAAGCCAGGAGCCTCTTCCGGGTCTCCCGCACGGGTGCAGGGTCCCAAGGCTTTGGGCCATCCTTGACTACTTTCCCAGGCCACATGCAGGGAGCTGGAAGGGAAGCGGGGCTGCCGGGATAGAACCGGTGCCCTTATGGGATCCCGGGCATGCAAGGCGAGAACCTTAACCACTGTGCCACCGCGCCGGGCCCTCGCCATCCATTTTTAATCCTTCTGTTGGGCAGGAGAGGAGGAGGGAATGGCTATCCTTAGTGGTTGCTTTATTTGATTTATTACATTCACAGTCATTACTTCAAAAAGTTCTTTATTGAAAAACGTTAAGCCCCTGTTGAATGATGCCAATTTAGCAGATCAGAGTTCCACTTCTCATCTCAGTTTTCCACTTCTAATTTGGTTCCCATAGGATGCTCCTGCCACCTGCATCGGATTCCTGGATGTCATTCCAGGTCCCTGGCCTCATCTTAGACAAGCCATAGACTTTGCAGCCATTGGGTACTGAAGGCAGTTGATGGTTGCACACTCTCTCTTCTCTCTTTCTTCTGTCTCTCTCAGCATGGCTTAAACAATAAGCTTGTCGCTGTCCCGCAGTGATGGACTTGGTGTACGGAGCCGATAATAACACACGTGGACCCTGAGTGATCGTCAAAGATGAAGTTTATTAGTGGCAGCAGACTTTATACACTGGGGGTTATGTAGGATAAGGGAGGAAGTATTTAGTTCATTAACAAAATCTATCAACAGTTTCTATGCTTTTGTTTGGAACTCCTTTTGTCTTGTATATTCCACCAAGTGTTCTCACACACATACTGTCCACTCAACCGTTCTTATACAAATGATCTCCCATCAGGTATACAAAAGGTAGCCATTTGGTTGTTCTCATGCAGATACTGTCCAATGAACTGTAATCCTGTGCTTGCTGACCTTCTAGGGTCACAATGTCCTGCTACATAAGCTTAATTGTTTTTTCCTCATATCTCATTTTTCTGTCACCTTCTCAGCATACTCACATGTCTTACAGCAAAATTGGCTCATCACTCTATTAAACTTTGTTTATATCCAGCTCTGTCTTTACGGTGTCTCCTGTCAACTGACACAAGAGTATCAGGCACTCTTGGCTGACCAAGTACACATGTGGATTGCTGTGTGCAACGGATGTTGTATTTTCACAGATCGACTCCTTATGACTGCAGAGGCCATGCAGTACGTGTGGAGGATACGAAGGTGTGTGGAGAATTGGTCCGTTGCAGGTTGGGCTGCAAGAAATTTCTTTCTGCATGGCTGGGCCCAGTGGATATCTCTACAAGCTACCTGAATGCAGTTCCACCTTCCTTTCCATGGACACAGGACTGAGAGAGGAGTTAGTGGGTAGTAGGCAGTTAGGGTATTCTGGGTCCCTGAGTAAAAGAGAATTTCCCCACCGTGTCTTGAACTCACCAGGGCACCTCTCTTCCAAGGGACAGAGGTGCTATTAGCATATCAATTCCCCACCTGAAGTATCGGCCATTACCTCGGCTATTGTGGGAGGGCCTCAGGCTGATCTCTTTATCATTGAAAAGAGTAATACACATCTGCCTGAGGCCTGGAATGTCCTATGTCTGGTATCTCTGTGACCTTTTGTCCCAAGGCCAGGTACCTTGGAAATCAGGAACTTTCTTTGTTTATGGAGAAACATCTTTGAGGGAAACCTTTAAAAGGTGCATTCCCCACCATTAATACGGGTTTTACTTCTTTGCCCCCTGCCACTATGGCAGAGGACTAGGGTTCTTTTTTACTTTTCCTCCTGCCACTATGGCAGGAGGTAAGGGTCTTTTCTATCTCAAAACCCCCTCCCGTCGCTAGGACGGGAGTCTCTCTTCTCAACTTTTCTAATAAATCCTGCTTTAAAACTAAACTGTGTCCGCATGAAAATTCTTCTTTCCTGCGAGACAAGAATTTGAGGTTGCTGCCATACTCGGAGTCAAAATTCCTGCAACAGGACCAGCCCACTGAAGAATTCTGTTATCTATTCAGGCATTGTTAACTGCTGTGGAGTTGGTGTTTTACTATCAATGTGAACTTGGAGGTAATGTCAGCGATAATTGTGAAAGGACCTTTTATTATTCAGGCTGTCTCTCTAGCTGCTGCCCCCATTTTACCATCCTTGATGTTTAGGTTCCCCTGTTTTTTTTGTTTTTGTTTTTTTTTTTGTAATGCATTTCCTCCCTTAACTGATTCAAGATTAAGTTGTAGAATGAGGATCATAGTAGGAATGTGTTACTTATTGATATTAAGAACTTCTATTGAGAGCTTTAAAGGTGAAACAAAGGGCAGAATTATTCTTGGGATCACCTACTTGACCAACAGGTGAAAAATCTGTGCCAGGGCTTGTGACTGTTTCTGGATTAACAAAGGGGACAACTTTCATGTGTTTTCCTTTGTGATCCTGACATCTTAGCAGTCTATTTATTTTCTCTTATGCCTACTCAAGCACCCTTCACACTTTTTGACTCGGCTGGAGCTGTACTTCAATACTTGGTGACTGCAGCTGCTGATCCTTGACCATGAGCTGATGTTGGGAGCTGGGATGTGAATCTGGGTCTCTCATTGGCAAACAGGAGAGTCTTGATGGGTGCAGGCCAATGGAGGTAGGCCATAGCCCAGCTGACAACTTCCAGGAATAAATGTGAATAGCATCAGGCAGGATTGCAGGAGACCCTAGCAGCTGCAAGATCTGCTGCTGGGAACATGCCTGGCAGGGGAACTGTTGGTACTTCCCTGCTGGCTGTACCTATTACTAGGTCACAGCACCCATCAGTTCATGTGATAATTGGGTCTAGATGACAATGTGTCTATTGGCTGGTGCAGGTGGACTGAAGCTTACCCTGCCCTAGCCAGTACACACAAGAGTCAAGTCTGATGTCACCCCAGGTGAGATCTCTTGGGGTTTCCCCAATTACATCTCTAAACTCTAACCCTGAAGTGCTGGTGTTGGACTGGGTCTCCCCAGTTGCTGATGCCTGAGTAGCGGACATCATGGAGACATGACAGCCAGCTTCTCTGGCTAGTGGGGGATGTTGATTGTTTCATCAGAGGATGGTTTTTAAAAGTACCTATGGGTTCTTTATCAGACTGGCCTGAACCTAGACCAGCCCACACACCTGCTGATGGATACTGTGACTTTGCAAAGCTTGGTTCACCCTGACCTCTGACTTTCATGTACCAATGGGAGGTCTAGCCCAGCAAGGGAGTCCCAACAGTTTCCCTAATAGGCCTGTTACCATTCCAGCATGTTGTGTGTATTGGTAGGTGCTTCAATTCAACCTGTCCTGGTACATGCACATTCTCAGCTCTTGCAGGTGGGTGTTGCAGCCCAGCCCACCTGAGCACAGTACACATTCTTTCCAGGCTCTCTAGTGAGAAAATAATTGCTCAGGTTTGGTCCCACCTGGCCTGCCTTCATTCTTGGCCCACAGAAATGCTGATATGTGCTACAGACTTGCCTGTACAAGCCCACCCCCAAAGCCAACTCTCATGCTCCACACAGGGAATTGCAGACTTGGAGGAGATTACCATAAGTTCTTTCTGTTCCCAGCCCCAGATCTCACACATGCCAGTGGGGGCAGTGGTCCAGCCTGGTACAAACTGCCCTCAGTCCTGGGCCTTGCATGTATTGTCCCCAGTTTGTCTCCTCACAGTCCCAGCTCCCATGAGTGTCAGGTAGGTTATGGTCAGATGAGAGTGTGGTCCAGCCTGGCTTGGCCTGTCACCACTCCCAGTTCTCCATATTACCAGCTAGTGTTGCTGTTCCGTGGAAGTGAGACTACAAATATCTTAGAGAATCTACACCCAAATCCAGTTCTTATGCATTCTGATGGGTGCTGTTGCCTCATGCAGTTCAAGGAGCATGTGTAATTGTTATGCTAATTAAGGTTCCATCAACAGGCATCTGTTATATATAAACAAAGGAAGACAACCCAGGCAATGAAGTCTTACCTTTTTGTAATCAATTCTGTGCAACTGGAGAACAGTATGTATACTCAAATAGACCAATTCTTAAAAAGACAAATTTATGTAGTAAAGAGAATACTGAAATGTTACAGGAATGAAAGGTGGAAAGCAGTCCATACACTGTAAAAACTACACATGGAATTAAAAATTATTTAGCACATAGACAAACACCTCATGCATTTCTTTCTCCATAAAATTTCAGATCCCTTATATTTCTGGAAAAATGATTGCACTAAATGTGGGGGAAAATATCAGGAAAAAACTGTGTGTCACCAGCGAAAAAAGAAACAATGCAATGCAATTTTTTTTTACTTGCAGTATTAACAGAGGAATTAAGCATTAACAAATATAAAACTAGACAGTGTGAAGACTAAGCAAGCTCTGCTTCCTCTGATAAATTCATGTCAGTATCTGACCTTGAGCCTGAGACATGAGTCACTGACACTGCTCAGCCCCAACACTGTGGGTTCCACAATCATTTATGGAACAACAGATTTTTTACAGCCCTCTTCCTGTCTGTGTTCATCAGGCTGTATTTGAATGGGTTCAACATGGGGTGACCACTGTGTACATCACTGTGGCTGCTGCAGTTCAGGCTGAATTTGGGGCAGTGCTGGCATTGAGGTACACACCTAGTCCTATGCCATAACATAGGGAAATGGCAAAGAGGTGAGAGGCACAGGTGGAAAAGGCTTTATGCTTTCCCTGAGTTGACGAGATGGCACGGATGGAGAAGATGATCTTGGAGTAGGAGTACAGGATCTCAGCTAGGGGACCAACTGAAACCAGCATAGTCGCAAGATACATCATGAGGTCATTGATAATGGTGTCAGAACAGGCTCTGTGGACCACATGATTTATCTCACAGAAAAAGTGGGGGATTTCCATGTGTGTGCAGAAGCTAAGTCTCAGAACCAGTAAGCTGTGCACCAGTGAGTCTAAGGCAGCTAAGACTCAGCACACCAGCACCAGCTGCACACAGAGCTGGGGGGTTAATGATTGCTATGTAGTGCAGGAGGTGACAGATGGGCACAAGCCGATCATAGGTCATTACAGTCAAGAGAAAATCATCCTACGCACCAAACGATATGAACAAGAACATCTGTGTGATGCAGCCTGCATAGCTGATAGCTCTGTTCTGCGTTTGGTTGTTCACCAGCATCGTTGGGATGGAGGTGGAGGTGAAGCAGACATCCACCATGGACAGGATGGTGAGGAAGAAGTACATGGGTGTGTGGAGGTGTGGGTCTGAGAGTATGACCAGGACAATGAGTAGATTCCCACTGACAGTGACCAGTACATGGAGTAGAATAACTCAAAGATGAGAGGCTGCACTCCTGGGTCCTCTGAGAATCCCATGAGAAAGAATTCTCAAAGCTGAGTTTTGTTTCTCCTTTTCATGTGGTGCAGATCACTATCAGCAAGAAGTAGTTTTAACTGAAACATATTTATGCAAAATCAACATAACCAACAGAGAAGAAATCATAAATTTATGTTCCAGTCAGAATGTAGGTCCCTCATTTCAAATGGCTTAGTTCCTTCTGGTTCCACACAGTGGATCACTGAGTAAGAATTCCTTGCCACCCTAAGTCTTTTCCTAAATCATCAAAAACATCTCACACTGCATGTGATGTGCTTGAACACTTTAAAAATACCTATTTATCAGTGGTTACAAACTCACCATAAAATGTCCAATTTCATATATGAAATAGAAAGCAGGGGATGAAGCAGTGTATAATATGTAGTTTCAACTATCTTAGTAATGAGATTCAATCCTTTTTATAAAGTGAACTGCAGTTAATTGGTGTCAATGGAGGCAGAAAGTTTTGACTTTGAGTAAATGACTCAATCATATTAAGCAAAGAGGAATCACAAAGGATGTCAAATGGTAAGAACAACTCATCTTGGAGCAGGTTAGAAATATATATACAACTGAATTATTAAGACTCTACTTCACAAGATATGACTAGCTCACCCTCTTGATTACTTAGCTTACCAGAAATAACAGCTCCCTAACATCACCTAGCATCAGGACATAATATTAAAATACATTTTGCTATCCCAGGATAAAGTATTTTTTGAAGTATGGTTTCCACTGAATGCTTATTGCTTTTCTACTATTGTGAAGACAAACAATTATAACTTGAATGAGTATAAGTTGCTCACCATCCCTACAGAAAAACACAGTTATGCTCATCCTTATCTGTATCATCAGTTTTGGAAATAATGAGGGTGTAATCTTAAAAAGAAAATGACTCTGCTTCATAACAAAAATTGTGTAGATTTCATAACATACCTAGTCCTGTGCCATAAAATAGGGAGATGGTCAAGAGGTGAGAGGCACAGGTGGAAAAGGCTTTCTTCATGCCCTGGTTTGATGAGATGGTACGGATGGAGGAGATGATCTTGGAGTAGGAGTACAGGATCACAGAGAGAGGACCTCCTGCCAGCAGCACAGCTGTAAAGTACATCATGAGGTCATTGAGAAAGGTGTCAGAACAGCCTCTGTGGACCATCTGATTTATCACACAGAAGAAGTAGGGGATTTCCATGTATGTGTCGAATCTCAGCCTCAGGACAAGTAAGCTGTGTAAGATGCCATCCAGGACACTGATGGTCCAGCACAATAGAACCAGCTGCACACAAAGTGAAAGATTCATGATGACCATGTCGTGCAGGGGGTGACAGATGAACACAAACCTATCATACACTATCACAGCCAGAAGAAATCCATCGGATTCTGCAAAGATTATGGAGAAGAACATCTGTGTGATGCAACCTGCATAGCTGATGGCTCTGCTGTGTGTCTGGATGTTCTCCAGCATCTTGGGGATGTTGGTGGAGGTGAAGCAGACATCCACCAAGGACAGGTTACCAAGGAAGAAGTACATGGGTGTGTGGATGTGTGGGTCTGAAAGAATGGTCAGGTTGATGAGCAGGTTCCCAATGAAACAGTGACCAGGTACATGGTGAGGAATAATTCAAAGATGAGAGGCTGCAAGGCTGTGTCCTTTGAGGATCCGAGGAGAAGGAATTCTGCAAGCTGAGTTTGCTTTCTCAGTTTTTTTGTGGTGCATGTCACTACCAGGAATAAGTAGTAAGCAACAAACAGAAATTCACAATACATGTTTTCCTGTTCAGCATGCAGCTCAGTTTCTGCTTTGGTTAGTCCCCATGGGATCACTGATGAAAAATTCATTTCCACTCCAAGTCCTTCCCTAAAGCCCCAAATACAGATGCAGACATTTTTGTTCATGCAATTTGCAAACTAGTGAATTCTCCAAATTTTGTTGACCTCTGAAATGTATACCTTAAGATTCTTTTGGAGCAATCATTTTGTATTATAAGAAACTAACCTTTGAGACACATTTTCCATTGCACTGAAGCACATTCCAAGTACATATGAAATGATTCCATAGAAGAACAGCTGCTGTTACAGTGGTCAGTATTTGTAGGCAAGGAGATGAAAAAAGACAAGTACAGGGCCAGACAGGGTAGATTAGTGGCTAAAGACCATGCCTTGCATGCACCACGGTGCCATATGGGACACCAGTTTTTGTCCTAGCTGCTTCACTTCCCATGCAGCTGCAAGCTAGTGGCCTGGGAAAGCAGCAGAGTGTGGCATAAAGCCTTGGGACCTTGCAACTGAGCGGGATACCAAAAGTCGAAGTTCCTTGGCATCTTGCTTTTGATTAGCTCAGCTCTGACCATTGTGGCCGCTTGGGGAGTGAAGCAGCGGATGAATATCCTTCTCTGTGGCTTTCCTCTCTGTCGAGTTGATATCCCATTATAACTAAATAAATAAATCTTTTAAAAAGACAAGAACAGAACTGTCTCACCCGACAGCACACCACAAAATTGCTGAAATTGTAGAACATGTAAATAGTTGGAAAAACTTGAGTTCATTCAACTCATGGATGATGCAATAAGTGTTAAGCACGTGTCTTTGATAGAGCTGATCTTACTGTCTGGTTACGATACAATGAGTTATTCAAGAGTGCATTGATTGAAGACGGAAGACCCTGAGACCTGTGTGTTCCAGCAGCTGCTACTATTAGGATTTCCTTGAAGACATTTCCTCCCTCCTGGTCCTTTCCTGTCAATACCGGGACAGTCAGTTACACCAACTCCTCACTTCCTGAATGAGCACTGCGGTTACTCAGTCTGTGGAGGTGGTTCCAGGAACAAGAGTGTTTGTTTCCTCTTCTCTAACCTGTATCGAGTGGTGAACAACCAAGCTCCTTCACACTGCAAATCTGGTACAACCTCACTCCCACATGTCCTTCCACATTGAAAATTTGTTCTCTACTCGCATAAATCTCCAAATGTTGCAAAGTCAGCTCCATGTGTTCTAGGCAGTTTAAGCTTTCCATTTTCTATTAGAATTGATCTTTTCTTGCCCATATTTCTTCATAAGCAATGGTTATTGCCCGAGGAGATCCAACATTTTCCCACCATTGATAATTATGAATAAATGCATTAACCAGTTAAGTGTAGCAGTCAGCAACCCAAGACCTATCTCAGGTGTTAGCTAGGTTAGTTGAGTTCTATGATGACCCCAAGAAAAGCTCTCTGTGTCCACAGCCAGGCTCTTGTAGTGTCTGCCAGGCTCTTCTGCCTGGCAACTACAGGAGGAATGTGTATGTATGAATGCCCAAATTCATGGTGGATGGTGGATGCTGGAGACTGAAGCTCTGTCCCAGGCACAGCACCAAGCAGGAGGGAAGCTCTGGTCCCTGAGCCTAACTCAGGAAGCAAATGCAACAAGCAGGCTGCTTCTAACCCAAAGTTGCAGTCATAGAGAACTCAGCAGAGGAGCTACTTAGAGCTCCTAGCACCTGCTCATTAGGCTGCTCTCTGACCTCTAAGCACCTGCTGTCCCTGAGGGGCTTCTGGCCATGGCAGAAAGCCGTTTCCTTGCAGGTGTTTCCCAAGAGACCCTGAAGGACTCAGGTGAATTCTCTTTCTCTTTCTCCTGCTATGCGGCAATTGCAAATAGCTGCCATTTAGTTTCTCATCTTAAAATGTTATGTTTAGTGAGAGAAGACAGTTCTCCAAAGACAATTATTATGTGTCTCATGATAGGTTGTAGTTGGTGCTGAACATAAAAAAAAAATGTAGAGATGGAAAGAGCATACTGAGATTTGATTGTTTTTTCTGCTCCTGTGAAACTGTGATTTCTTAAAGCTTTTACTTGTTGAATTTGATGTTTAGTGCGGCCCTAAGCCTGTGATTCATGCATTGTAGTTCATATTTTAACAATAACAGAATGATTTAATATACATTTCAAAATAATTAGTGGTATACATTTCTTAATACTTACATAGGATAATATTTAGGGAGACAGAAATGCATTTACTTGATTGATTTTTACACATTATTCACACATATTAATTATGTTATATACCCTAAAAAGTTGAAATATTTTCTGTTATTCAAAATAAATTAATGTAAAACCCAAAAAAATATGTAACACCAAAGTAAATTTTTATGCAATCCAAGTATTTTATTTGAAAATATTAAAAAAGAAAAAATGTATTTCCTGGATCAAAATAAACAGAACAATTCACACATTCTCTGAAAGCAAACATTGCGGCCTTCTTCATTGAGTTATATTGAAGCTACACACAAGAGATGAAACAAGTTGTGTGATTTGTGGCTGAATTCCTCAAGTGGAAATTCATATTTATGTAGCTGGAAAAAATAGAATAAAACTTACTAATTGTTCTTTGCACTTAGACAATGTTAAGCTCTTACAACTCTAGTCATACACTTACATTGGACACACAGCAAGGGCACCTCAGAGGGTTCATGTAAAACTGAAATTTGTTGACAGTTTCCTGGGGGCCTGCATTATGACTTTGCCCTCCCCAATTAGTGCCCCAATTCAAACCCCAGCTGCTTAGCCTGTGCATAGGAGGCTATCAGAATTCGAACTAAGATGTTGAGTCCTCTGCACCCCATGCGGGAGGCACAGGTGGAATTAATGGTTCTGTGTTCAGCCCTCCTCAGGGCTTTTAGATGTCTGTCACTCACCCTTGAATTTGTCAACTTGCAAAGGCACAACTTGCATGCAACAATCAATTCAAAAGAGGACATTTGGCCTAAATGGTGACTAGAACCCCAACTATGGCATCTTCACATTTGTCTGTGCTGTGGCATCTGCATTTTACATGCAGGTGTGTGTGTGTGTTCTGTGCTCTGTCCACATGTGTGCTCACATCCATACCTGTAAGTGTACTGAATTTAGTGTGACCTAGAATTATATTTAGTTGGGATTAATTGAACATTCATCATTTACATCAAGAAATGTTTTTTCCAAGTACAAACTCTTTAGTCAACAAGTCTTGTTTGATGTCTTTGTTTAGCCCTAAGCAGTGATGTGTTCTGCTCAGGAGAGCATTCCCATATTTAACTTTGGGGTTCTTGTGCAGCTGGAGGGGACAACCACTTGCTGCTAAAGCAGATCCCAGGGAAACAGCAAGAAGTGACTTCTAACCAGGATGGCTCAAAAACTCACACAACCTCCATGAGCAACTCAAGCGTAATAATTAAGGAGTAAATTATGGGAATTTAAGTGACATGATGATTCAGAAGCTATCCTTCTCCGGGTACACCAAATGAAACATTCCTGTGCATTCGTTTTACAGGTGCAATGACTTTGTTCTTGGTCTGATACCAGGACCCTGTCCATGATGTATGTTCAAAGTAGAACAGAAAATATAAACATGTCCACCAAGAACAAAATTGTCCACTAACAACATAGATACTGCTAGGTGTGTTTGCTGTGTCTGTGATGGACACTAGCCCAGGGAACTGAAAAGGAAACTGAAGAGTTTATTAGAAAATCCTTTACTCTTCTCTGAGACTTTGGAAATTGGTACATGTTACAGGTGCAATCAAAGGAAAATAATGAAAATATCCACAAGAAATCTGTTAAATACAAAGAAAAGCAAAAATCAAAAAAAGAAAAAAATGAGATGATTAAAATTATAGGGGGCGGGGGGGGGTAAAACAAAGCAGTGGGAACTGCAGTACACAGGCAGAAGGAACAAGTTCTATTTTCACAATCTGATCTTAGAGTAAGCTTTCTTGAAACTGAGACATTGATCTCTAGAGTGTTTAGCACATTTTTAGCCACAGACATTGGGCTGTTCATAAATTCCAACCCACAGATCTTTTCAGAGCCCTCTTGGTGTCTGCACTCGTGAGACTGTAGATGAAGTGGTTCAGCATAGGGGTGACCACAGTGTACATCACCGAGGCTGCTGAAATTGAACTTGGGTTTTGAGAAACAGCAGAACTAAGGTAAACACCTAGCCCTGTGCAATAGAATAAGGAGACAACAGAGAGGTGAGAGGCATAAGTGGAAAAAGCATTATACTTGCCCTGAGCTGATGAAATGGCACAGATGAAGGAGATGATCTTAGGAGTATAGGATCCCGGACAGGGGAATTCCACCCAGCAGCATTGACACGATATAAATGATAAGATCATTAAGAAAAGTATAAGAGCAGGCACTGTGGATCACCTGACTCAGTTCATGTGCAGGCACAAGGACAGTCGCAAAACCATTAAGCTTTGCAACAAGGCATAGAGGAAACTGATGATCCAACGTATCAGGACCAGCTGCACACAGAGCCAGGGGTTCATGGTGACTGTGTAGTGCAGGGGGTGACAGATGGCCACAAACCTATCGTACGCCATCACGGCCAAGAGAATATCATCCAACACAGAGAGCAATATGAAGAAGAACATCAGCTATGCAAGGCAGCCTGCATAGCTGATGTTTTGGCTCTGTGTCTGGATGTTCTCCAGCATCTTGCAGATAGTGGTGGAGGTGAAGCAGATGTCCGCCAAGGACAGGTTGATGAGGAAGAAGTACATGGAC